TGGTAAACTGTGGTCAATGACATGAGACAAAGTATATGTGAACTGCTGTATGGAAAGTGAATTTGCTCTGTAAATCTTCACCCAAATCAAAATCAAAATCAAAATCAAAAAATTATAAAAGGAGATATTTTACTTTTGATAATAAGTGTTTGAAATCCAGTATGTAGCTTACATTTACAACACATCTTACCTCAACGTAGTCACATTTCAAGAGCTCAACAGCCTTCTGCAGCCAATGGCCATCATGTTGGGCAGTGAGATTAGGAAGACACGGAATACAGGTACACTTCCAAATCTTAGAGTGAATTCATTCTCACAGAGAGTATAGCCAGTGTGGTAGGAAGAATGTATGAAAGACCTTTAAAATATTTCATTTTTTATGTTTTACAGTCGGCAGTAAAATGGCCGATGAGATTTAATAAGAACAGGTAGAAAGAAAAAAAAACTTATCATTGTCCTCTTTAGCTTCTCCCACGTATAACTTTAGACTTATGTACCAGTGACACATAGGTTGTGGAGACTGCGCACTCATATATTCAATATCATCATACAGAATTTAGGCAAAAATGCCATCTTTCATAAGCATAACAATAATTGGAATTAAATCAGTTTTAATTACCTTCCAGTTGACCCATCCTTTGTCATTTTCATCCATGTTTTTTTTCAGTTGGCCTCCATGGCTTGTCAAGTAAAACTGGTAAGTGATTGGTAGCCAAAGACAGAAAGAGAGAGCAAAATGACTAGTTAATTCCAGTCTTTTATTTCCTTAATACACTCATGAGATCATCAATGAAATACAAAATATATTCATTCTCACTGATGTAGGAAAAAACAAATAGATGACATGCTTTGCACATGTGGCAATAAATATGTAACATTCTTTGATCATACAAGAATAAATTCGTGATAGAAACTGAAGTCTGTTTTAAATTCCAGAGACATACCTGCACAGGATGCAAGGCTCGTCGGTTCTCTGCATAGCACCGTTGAATCTGCTTATGAAGTTTCTTAATGTCCTATAGAAGAGTTGCATTTCATGTTTAAAGCATAGTTATCAAAGCCATCTATGGCCATTCCACAATCTTAGTGGAACTGAATAAGCAGAAGGGGTGACTAGATAGGTATAATTCTTCTGAAATACAAGTTCATCCTCATAATTTTCACTCAATTTCTTTACATATTAGCAAAATAATCACTAGAATAAGTAACGTTAATAGTGTATGAAACCAATTGCCACTGAGTCAATTCCAACTCATGGCAACCCTATATATGACAGAGTGGAACTGTGTTCCATAGGTTTCCAACGGCTGCTTTTTGGGAAGTAGACTTCCATGCTTTTCTTCCAAGGAACCTCTGGGTGGACTCAAATCACCAACCTTTTGATCAGCAGCCAAGTGACTCCCAATACTCTATAGATGATTAATTATTTCATATTTTATATCCATTTAAAATGCTAGTTCATAAAAACATACTCTTTATAAGAGCTAACAAAAGGGAAAAAACTATTTTAGAGCCATCCTATTACTATGTCCATGACTTACAATGGTCTAGAGAATAATTAATGCATGTTTTCTTCAGTTGCAGTATTCAAACACCAAGATTTCTCAAACTATTGAATAAGAAATAATTCTATTAAGCTGATTGTATTTCCTATTCTTTTTGATTAGGACAAATAACACCTTCTCCCTAAAAAAGCAAAAACTCAAAATCTTTATGATAAAATGAGGCTACAAAGTTTTGTAATCCAATCATAGCCTTTTTTCCCTCTCTCTCTCTATATATAATAACTGAAGACAATTTATAAGCTACTTCTATTTGAGAGGAGAAAAGATTTTTAAACACTTGATTTCAGAAGTACTTTAATACATCAATTTAAATTAAAGTGATATTGCATATTAACAGAAGAATGATTCAGCCTAGTTTACCTATAGAATTTTCTGAAAATTATTCATAATACCTTTAATACCATCAAGTCATCAAAACTACAGTCAATGATTAGGCGGAGTGTGCTTTGAACAACATCTCTTCGAATACGTTTTCTGTCATTTCCATCAGAGTTTGATTCCAGTTGACATTGTCGCTCTAATTTTTTTCTCTTGCGTTTTTCTTTTCGCCTTTGTCTAAAAGTAATCATTAAAATAACTTTATGTTGTCACTTGTATATTCAGATTTTCACAAAACTCTTTTAAGCAGACAAAGAATCAAATACTTTTAAAAATCATTAGGTTGAACCACATGAAACTGCCACATCTGTGGGTCAAAAATGGTTGAATGTTGGCAATTTTACATATTCACTGCCTCGGAAACCCAAGAGGGTGGCTATGAGTCAGAATTGACTAAAGAGCAGTGAGTTTGTTTTTTGGAGTTTCATCTAAAATTTTAGATGGAAATGAGTTTGTAAAAACAATCTAAACCTTCCCAATTATTAACTATATTATGCAATAACTTTACTTATTTTTGGTATTACACTATATACTCTAAGAAAAGGGAGCTCTGGTAGCATAGTGGCTAAAGCACTTGACTGCTAACCAGAAGGCTGGCGGTTCAAACCCACCAGCCACTCCTCGGAAGGAAGGTTGGGCAATCCTACTTCCGTAGTGATACTGCCTCAGAAACCCAAGGAGGGGTCTCTATGAGTCGGGGCCGACTCAACGGCACATAACAACAACAACATTCTAAGAAAAATTTGTAACTACTGAATTTAAGAGTTAGGTTCAATTTTACTTTCATCATTCTTCCCCTATATGATTTCCAGGGTTTATATAGTACAGAAAGAAAGCAAAATAAAATTGCTGGTTTAAAAAGAAAATCTCATATACTTTTTCTCTAATCTACATCAACTTTATTTTCTCACAGTAAATTTATAAAATAATATTACAAAGTAACAGCTTCAACCAAACTGTTCTCATCAAAGCTTACAATGATTCTTTTCGCAAAATCAATCTTTGGCCAAAATTTGATCTTCATGAGTGGGATAATTTTTGTTCTCTATTGAAGACATGGATACTAACAGTATCTTTGATCTAGGTTGCTTCAGGAATTATTTCACTACCTGTAACAGGTCTGGGCAAGAAAAAGTATTCAACACAAATTCAACAATACTGTTAAATATAGTAGTAATTCAAAGCACAAACAGTTGTAACAGCCAACTGACAGTGTTAGCTAGTGATGTACACAGTCCTGATTCTAACTAACAAAATTATTTTAACGTACCAAAGGTTTACGCCAAGTCCAACATTCTATGTTTCTGAATGGGGTAGAGAAAATGCATTTTGAAACACATACTTGCGGAGTTCTCGTTGTTCTTCCCATTGCTTTTGTTTCATGAGCTTCTTCATTTGTCGTTTAGATATTGATTTAAATCCTTCACCTGAGCTTGGCTTCTGGCTCTCCTCTTGATTTTCATTTAAGTTGTTTTTTCTTTCAACATCAGAAGTCTCAATAAAAGCTGGCAACATTTCAGATGACATATTTGGCACTTCTGAAAAACTGAAAAGCAAATTTTGATATAAACAGATAATTTATAAACATAAAGGAGTAATAAAAAATGATCAATTGATATGACTGAGTTAAGCCATATCAATCATAAATAAAATGCAAATTTAGACAATTACATGTCATTTATTGGTAAAGATCATCTAGGTATCATTTAGTGTCAATTAAATATTGTTTATTAGCAAGTTGGTAAAGGTCTAGAGAAATACGTGTTTTCATACTCTACTGGAGATCATGGAAGAATTTTCCAAAAGGCAGCACAAGAAAACGTTCATAATCTTTAACTCAGTATTTTATTTATTTAGGCCAAATTCCTTTAAGTGAACAATAAACGCACACAAAAATAATGCACAAGGCGATTTGCACTGAAGCATTATTTTTAACAGAGAAAAATTAGAAAGTACTTGAGTTTCAGCAAAAAGGGACTAAATAAATTACAGTTCATCTATAATATGGACCAGAATACTAAGCAGCCAGTAAGAATCTTGTGTTCCCAAAACATTTAGTGATGGGGGAAATGGTCATGTTAAATAAAAAAAAGAAAAAAATACATTATGTGCAATTTTGTTTTAAAAAGAACATGCACATTTAATTATTAGCTGGATTATATGAAGAATGTGGCATCAGGATTGAAGGAAGGTGCATTAACAACCTGTGATGCAGGTGACATGATCCTGTTTGCTGAAAATGAAGAACACTAGAAGCACTTACTGATGGAGATCAAGGACTACAGTGTTTAGTATGGATTATACCTCACCATAAAGAGAGCAAAAATCCTCACAACTGGACCAATAAGCAACATCATGATAAACGGAGAAAAGAATGAAGTTGTCAAGGTTTCATTGTACTTGCATCCACAATCAACACCCATGGAAGTAGCAGTCAGTAAATTAAAGGACATACTGCATTGGGCAACTCAGCTGCAAAAGATCTCTTTAAAGTGTTAAAGAACAAAGATGCCACTTTGAGGACTAATGAGTGTCTGATGGAAGCCACAAAATTTTCAATTTTGTCACATGCATGTGACAGCTGGACAATGAATAAGGAAGACCACAGAAGAACTGTTGCACTTGAATTGTGGTGCTGGCGAAAAATACTGACTGTACCACAGACTGCTAGAAGAATGTACTATAATGTCTTGGAAGAAGTGTAGCTGGAACGCTCCTTAGAAGAGAGAATGGACAGACTTTGTCTCTCATATTTGGTCATGTTGTCAGAAGGGACCAGTCCCTGGAGAAGGATATCACGCTGGGTAAATTAGAATGTCAGCAAAGAAGGGGAAGATTTTCAACAGAATAAAGTAGCTGTGACAATGAGGTCAAGTATGACAGTGATTGTGAAGATGGTAAAGGACTGGGCAGTGTTTTTTCATTGCTGTAGAGAAAGTCGCTATGAGTTTAAACTGACTTGATAGCACCTAACAACAATAATGCTTAATTATTACCCATAGTTTTACACATTTTCTAGAATTTTGTACAATGAAAGCATACTGTCTTTGTGAAAGAAAAAAATGTTATTTTTAAAAATGATGAAAAGCACCTTTTTCATAACTTTCTTTAATGCTATAGAATAAGGAAAATAAGAATGTTTCTTTCATTATTTGGGTGCCCATCCATAATAGATTTTAATAAAGTATATACTAAGGATTTACAAAAACTGGACAGTTCAGACAACACATTTGGATGCCCTTCTAATATAGTTAATTGTAAATACTTTACTTTTGTCATGGGTGAAAATAAAACATAAAATTCGGTTATATAATCAGTCTGGCCTCTTAGAATACTAGAGTATTCTAGAGTCTTCTCAAACATATCTTTATTTGGATTTAATTACACACATCTTTCTCCCTGCTGACTAGAACCAAACTACCCTTCAGAATTAAGAAAACGGCTAGGACTGAGATTTCTTTTCCCTTTGATAAATTATCAAGTACAAAGCTTAAAAATTTTATTACTTATCTTTACCAAATACTAAACATCTAGTGGGAGCTCTGGTAGCATAGTACCTAAGGCATTAGACTGCTAACCAGAAGGCTGATGGTTCAAATCCATCAGCCACTCCTCTAGAAGGAAGGTTGGGCAATCTATTTCCATAGTGATACCGCCTTGGAAACCCAAGGAGTCATCACTATGAATAGGATCTGACTTGAGGGCAGTGAATTTTTAGTTTTATAGGAGAGTAGAACTGCCCTCATAGTGTCCCCTAGGATATAATCTTTATGGGAGCTGACTGCCAAGTCTTTTCTCCCCCAGAATGGTTGGGAGCACCAAACCAACTACTCTTTAGTTAGCAGCTGAGCACTTTAACCACGTGCTACCAGGGCTCCTTAGTAAAATAAAACCAAACCCACTGCCATCGAGTCCATTCCAACTCCTAGCAACCCCCACTGGGTTTCCAAGGCAGTAAATCTTTATGGAAGTTGACTGTCCAGTCTTCCTTCTCTGGAGTGGCTGGTGGGTTTGAACTGCCAGCCTTTTGGTTAGCAGTCAAATCCCTTAGGCACTACACCACCAGAGCTCATTAGTAAAATACTAAACCAAAACCAAATTCACTGCCATCAAGTCGTTTCTGACCCATAGCAACCGCCTCCTTGGGTTTCTGAGGTGTTATCTCTACAGAAGCAGATTGCTCAACCTTCCTTCCAAGGAGTGGCTGATGGTTTAAACTGCCAGCCCTCTGGTTAGCAGTAAAATGCCTTTTACTGTTAATCTGAAGAATTTATCATTAAATTTAAATCCTTAAAACAACACTGTAAGGTACATAGTGCTGGTCTTGCCTTACAAAGAAGAAAGAAGGGAAATCAAGTAAAAACCAGCATCACAAAGCTACTAAGTAATTCCCTAGAAATAAGACACCTATAAAAGAATCTAGCACATAGCAGATATTCAAACTACCTGCTGCATAAGTAAATGAATGAAGTGATAGAGCTAGGAATCAAATCCAGTTCTAGCTCTAAAGGCCTTATGTTTATTTTATCTCCAGTAACACAAAACTTTACTCAGAAAAATGAAGGTTTCCTAAGAGCCTTAAAGAGCTGTGTGATCACCAGTTGTGTTACTAGAGGGCTTTGAGAAGCACTGTGTCACTGAAGGATAAGGAGAAAAAAATTGTTCCAGTTCTGTGGTAGTTCAGTTTGAATGTCAACTTGGCTAGGCCTAGTTGAGCGGCTGGGCAGCTGGTGGTAGTTATTCCCATGATGAGACTGGCAATCAATTTCATGGTGGGATCTACCAGAAGCAGCTGAGTAGCTGCCTTTGGGATATGGCCTGCTTCCTGCATATAAGGAGAAGCCTTATAGTCTCTAGCTTATGGCACGCTTGGACCCTGCATGTAGCCGTGTCGTTGTTTAGCAGACTGCCAAGCTCTACAGACGTTGGGACTTACAATGGATTTAAATTAATGGCCTGCCATGTGGTTTGGTAACATTGGGACTGTGCCTTTTTACTTGTCAACCTTGGGCTTCTCAGCCTCAGCAGCCAGCAGCTGTCTGAATGAAGAAACGCCTCTACCTCCAATGGGCCGGGAGCAGGAGGCAGAGGTGGACCCCAAGGTTGAGGGGCTTTCACCCAGCCCCTAGAGCCTGGCACTTTGAACTCAGACTTAAAGCCTCCAAAGTGTAAGAATAAATTCCTGTTTGTTAAAGCCATCCCATTGGTAGTATATTCTGGTCAGAGCAGCACTAGCCACTGTAGTGTGGCTGGTAGGTTTAAATCACTAACCTTTATGTTAGTAGCCAAGTGCTCTAACCACTGCACTACCAAGGCACTCTTTGGGGGAAAAAAAAAAAAAAAAAAGGTACTCTATTCAAAGCAAAAATAAAAAACAAAACAGATGTTGTTCCTCCTGGGAATTTTCACAGCTTTAGAGTAGAGCGAATAACAATAATATAAGACAGGAGATGGGAGATAGATGGCCTGAAACTAGAGGTTGGGGTGAGGCTTCTTTCTTCCATGAAAGAAGCCTAAAAGAAGGCACAATTAGACTTTGGCTTATATCAAGCTGAGAATCCGAGAAAGCCTGGAGGAAGCAGAGATAGCTTCTCAGCTAGAATCCAAGCCAAGTTATGAGGTGACAGATACTAATAACTCAAAAAAAAAAAAAAAACCCAAACTCACTGCCATCAAGTTGATTAGACTCCTAGTGACCCCTCCTTGGGTTTATGAGGCAGTATCTCTATGGAAGTAGATTTCCCAGTCTTCCTTCCAAGGAACAGCCAGCCTTCTGGTTAGCAGTCAAATGCCATAGGCAGTACACCATGCAAAACGAATATAATTGAGCAATTTGAAAATGACTTCAGGAGAAGTTTGGTTGCTATATTCCAGAAAGATTATAAAAGATTATTGCTGTGTGAGCCATCCAGTCATTCCACCTCATAAGGACCCTAAAGGACAGAGTAGAACTACCCCATAAAGTTTCCTAGACTGTAATTTTTATGAGAGCAGATCAGCAGGTCTTTTCTCTCATCGAGCCATTTGTGGGTTCAAACCACTGATATTTTGGTTAGGAGCCCTGTGTTTAACCATTATGCCACCAGTGAACTTTTATAAAGGGCTAAAACCCAAAACAAACCCACTGCCACAGAGTAGATTCTGACCCATAGCAACCTTCTAAGACAGAGTAGAATTGCCCCACAGGGTTTTTCCAAGGCTGTAAATCTTTATGGAAGACTGTCATCTTTCTCCCATGGAGTGGCTGGTGGGCTTGAAGCACTGATCTTTTGGTTAGCAGCTGAGTATACTTTCACCACGCTGCCACCAGGATTCCTTCCATAAAGGGATAAGAACCATAACAACAAGATAAAATAGTGACCAAAAAAAAAAAGGTGTAAAAGCAGCAAAACCAAAATCAATTTTAAAACCAGGAAATTAACAAATTAAGAATTTAAGTACTGCCTCGGCTGGTACTATACTGCCTTGGAAACCCAAGGAGGGGTCGCTATGAGTCGGGGTCGACTCAACGGCACATAACAACAACAACATGATGTAAAA